AATGGAAGAGTCAGTATGACCTCCTGGAGGACCTTTTGAAGCACCTTGTACTCATTGCCTCTGTGTCTGCTAAGCAGGCCTAAAAACAACCCTCGGTACCGAGGAGCACACATACTGTTCCGACTTTGTCCTCAAACACAACCACTGTCCCCTCATCGGGACCAAGGCCACTTTGAGAAAAGGGGAGGTGAGCGAGGAGAGCCCACAGGCAGAGGGAGAAAGGGGCCCAGAGCAGGGGTGCATTGGGAGTGGCAGGATTATCCCGGGCGAGGGTCTCAACAGCCAGGACAATGGAACTCTTCAACCTGCAAGCATCATTCCAGTCATGAATTAAATCCATGCCCGGAGCCAGACTGAGCATGCCCACGCTTATGATTGCATCTGAGAAATCGGACCAGCCCGGGGATGAGCCTGTTCATAACCCGGAGAGGCAGGGGCCAAGGACCCCAAACCTCCTAAAAGCCTAGACACAGTTCATTCCGAGAAAACTCACTGCAGGCCCCACCTGCTGCGCCAGGGCTTTCCTTCCCTCAGAGAAACTGCTTTCTGGGGCCGCTTCGCTGTCCTTGTGCCCATTCTTCAGTTGGAGAGTACGAGAGCCCTGGGCACACCAGAGCAGCTGCAACAAAGTCACTGACTCCTGGATTGCAGGCGGGAAAGTCTTGAACCCCGACACTGAGGTGTAGGGAAGTCAGGAAGCACGGTTGACCTTGAACAGCATGAGGCTGTGGGAACCGAATTCCCAGTCAAAAATCAGCATAGGATTTCCAGTTGGTGCTTGAACACAGGTTTGAACTTCAGGGAATCACTTAGTTGAGAATTTGTTCCTGTTGCTGCAGCAGAGAGCCCAAGTATTCCAGTTATCTTGGCTCCAAACACGCTGAATCATCTGTCGGTGAGGTCTCTCTCTCCAGAACCGCTCACAGGATGGTTTTAAGGAGAGACTTGGGACCTTGAACTCACTACAATAAGCACCGCGCGTCGAGTGAGTCGACTGACTCACAGATGCCCTGCAAGGCAGAGACTGCTTGGTAGCGTATCAGAGACTCTACTTCCATGGAAGCACAGTTTCATTGTTCTTGGAGCAGCTAGTTTGCTTGACTACTGACCATGTCCTTAGCAGCCCAACACTTAATCCATTAAACTGCCTACTCTCCTTTCACCACAAAAGCCACAGGTGAAAAAAAATCTGCCTATCGGTGGGCTGGGCCCAAGCAGTTCAAAACTGTGTGATTCACAGGTCAACTGTGTTCATGAAAACCTGGAAATAGGTCAAAGGGGTGTGAGTTAACTTGAAGTGGCTACCATGATCAACTAAATCTAAGGCCGTCTGAGCAACAAAGGAAATTACATTAATGATTAATGAAATGATGTTAATGACACAGAGAATAACCTAAGCATCTATATGCCCAGAAAAATAACTGGGGAGAACGCTTCCTTATAATAAGAGCTTCCGTTAACAAAAGTAGAAGGGATGATGATTATAGAAAATAATTAGGCAAACAAGAACCACAGATGACGGCTAATTAGTAGAAAAGTACGATGAGAAAGCGCTTTAGTCGAGTGTCTTCCCACACAAAATACCTCTTAAAAAACAAACCCACCGCTGTCCTGGACTCCGCAGCTCTGCGGGAGAGAATAGCAGTGTAAGTAGCAGAAGCGGGAGACCTTTAACAAGGGGCCGACCCACGGCAACCACGGTCTCAGTGCAAACAGTCTGAGGACAGCACAAGACAGCAATGTTTCTTTCCCTTGACAGAGGGTTGGCAAGTCTCCAGGAAAAGTAGGCTGCCACACCTTTCTCCCACAGTGGTTGGTGGTGTTGAGTGGCAACTTTTGGTTAGCACACAAGCACTTACAATCATTGCGACCACCAGGCCGCCCCCTTACTTCCTAAAAAAACCACGCCAACCCAAATCCACAGCCACCAACCAATTCCAACTCACAGGGACCCTACATATGGTTTTGGGAACACAGCCTCATCTCTCTCATGGAGTGGATGGCGGTTTGAACTGCAAACTGGGTAGTAAGCAGGCCAATGCACCAGTACCAGGGGACGGCGTTCGATCACATGGGCCATCTTGCACGTGTGAAAAAGCCTCAATAAAAACTCTGGATACTGAAACTTTAGTAAGTCTTACTTAGGCAATACTCTCTGGGGTAGCACAGACTGATTTTCAGAGGGTAATACTTCCTGAAGACGATGGAAATGTTTATTATGGCATCTTCTCAGGCCCACTCTTCCCTGTCACTTCCTTCCTTTGGTTGATTTCAGCCTGTATCCTTTCCCTGTTAACTAACCATGTATGTGAATTATGGGAATTAAACAGCTTCCAGTGGGTTCCTTGAGCAAAGTATCAAGCCCTCAAACCAAATGAGGCAAAAATAGGAACTTCCCAGTGAAGAACTTTTTACATTTCCTTCTTAAAGTTTTATTGGGGACTTCAAAAACCGGTCGCCAAGACAATCCCCATTGCATAATCACAATATGCCCGGGAACTTGGCATGGTAAAGGAGTGGACCATGAAGCTCCGAGTGTGCTCATAATCAGAGGTCTCAGGGACAATGAAGACTTTTGCCAGATCAGCCTAACAAAGTTCCTATATACTCGAGTAGAAGCTGAGTTTTCTAGCACATTTTTAATGCAGTTTTTGTGGTGAAATTGGGTGCCTCGGCTGATACTTGGTTTGGCTTATACTCAAGTATGAATGGAATCAAGGTTTACACTACAGCATTAGAACAAATTGATATCATGTGATTCCTGCTATGATACAACTGAGGACATATCCCTTCTGTGCTACTCTTGCCAAAAAGCATAAATTAAGGAAACATCTGGGAAAACAAAGCTGAGTGACCGTCTACACAAGTACAAAGACTGAAGGAGAAATGATAGTCCCTGGCTATGGGTTACAGGTTGGAAACTAGTCCACCCAGAGGCCTCCTACAAAAGCCCAAGTGATCTGCTTCCGAAAAAGCAGGCATGAGTCACCTTCAATTTGATTAGCGAGAGTCCCTCTAAATGCGCTTTGTACAACTGAACTACATCTCGGGCTAGCGGAACATTACTGAAGCAGATGGTGAAATGTGAAAAAAGGCCTGTAAAACTACACTGCAGGATGTTATCACGCTAATCTACTTCCAGTTACTCTAGTTAATATTTGGCGAACATAAGAAATGGGTATAAGGAGAAACTTATATTTTTGCAATTTTGTGAAGTCTGAAACTTTTTCAAAAAGTAGATAAAGAAAATTTCCCTTGATTAGAAAAATAAAATTTCCAGTGTCATGAAAACACATTTGAACCTCAGCTCTCATTTGTAATGAGAAATTTACCTGAATTCTAAAATGTTGCTTTACCTAATGCCTGAGTGAAGCACCAGCACTTCAGCTATTAAAAGGGTATCTCTAAAGGGAAATATCTAATATCCTTATCAAGAAGCTAGAAGAAACTTTTTTTTTTAGAAGAAACTTTTAAAAAGCTGTTTTAATGATCGGTTTAGCAAAGTAAATGTGAAGGAGAATGTAATGGAAATGTAATTTGGAAGGCAACCAATGTGACCTTAGAATTCATGATAACCAAGAAAGAGAAGTCTGGGTGACAACTGTATTGAGAAAAGAATGCACAGTACATGGATAAAGAAAGCACATTAACTATGAAAAAACATCTAAGAATGTGGATATAAATAGCCCGCAGGGAGCAAGCATCTTTCAATTTTTTATGAAATCCATTAAGGATCACCTTCCCTTTTTTTATAATAAGTGGTAGATAGTACTGTATGTTTTAACCATCAAGGATTCTCCAAGGTAGGTATGCCTCTAAGCCAGTGGGGTTCTCAACCTCTGGGTCGCGACACTTTTGGGGGTTGAATGACCCTTTCACATGGGTTACCCGATTCATAACAGTAGCAAAATTAGTTATGAAGTAGCAACAAAAATAATTTATGAGGAACTGTATTAAAGGGTGTCGCATTAGACAGGTTGAGAACCACTGCTAAGCAGTTCCGGGCAGTGCAGTGGCTTAATGGTTAAAGACAAGGTTACCTACTTCTGTAAAGAATACAGCCTTGTGACAACCAAGTCCACTTGGAAGCTGCACACCAACCTATGTGATCCAAAGACTATGAGTCAAATCCAAATTGTAGGTGGGAACAGTATCAGAGCTTAAATTCTGAATGCCTGGGTTTACGGGCTATGGAGGTAGTGGAAACCCAAAATGCATTTGCAGGGCCCCACATGGATTAAGCCTTTGGTGAATCCCCTGAACACAGTCCAGGGATATGAATAGCCTCATTACTATACAGCACTGTTGTGGATTACAGCAGATGTAGTTAGGTTAAAACATTTTATCATTTGATCTACCTTTTGACACATTTTCAGATATTTTCCTTTTAATTAAGGTTTATCTTTTCTCATTATCTTTGTGTCATATGATTTTCTGGATAAGAAACCCAGGGTAGGTAAATCTAGAGAGAACTGGATATCACCTAGGGGCATGGCAGGGGATGCTGGAGAAAGGGGGACCTAAGGAGTAGGAGAAAATGTTCCCATGTTGTGGTGGTGATTGTACAACTCTTAACATGATAGGACAATTGAACTGTATATGTGCATCATATGTAATAGACCATTAACGCAATGGTAACAGTGATTCAACTCAGTCCCATAGGGCTGCTGAGCCACAAGCGGCTCAAGGGCAGCAGGCACTCGCCTCTCAAGAACCCTCTGCAGCTTGGGCGGGCCCTCTGACAAAAGAGGAGCTACATTTGTTTGTTTCTGTTGTCTTTCCCACTTGAGAGGCTGCAATGCCACGAAACTGTTGTTAAATTAAGTAGACTCCAATTTTAGTGTATGTGCTGCCGGAGCGAGCACAAGTAGACTCCAATAATACGACTTTCACATCTTCCACTACTTTGGCCAGCAATAAGGATAAATGCAACAATTACCTTTTTTTTAAAAAACAAAAGATCAGCAACAAATAGGTGGAATAGAAAAAAAGAATGCTACTGAGTTTGACAATTTATTGGTATTTCAGTAAAGACATTCATCTCAGTCGTTTCTCTCTCCCATCTTGACCTTCAGTAAATATTTTCACTTGGGTCAAGAAAAGTATAGGAGAGGGATATTATTCTAACATAAACAGTAAAATGAACAAAAATGGAAAGTTTGCCTACATCAAAGTAAGTAAAATTTATGTATCTTGATAGAATTAAATCATGTAAGTAAGAACTAAAAGTTCTATATACATTTCCATTGTTTTACTTGGGACTTACTCTAAACTTAAATGCAAGTGAACAAAGTGTTGGGAATATACAACAGTCAGACTGCTTCTCTGGAGTTATTACCTATCAAAAGAGCTCGAGGAGCAGTTACCACCAATAACACCTGAAGCTACCTCCAAATTTAACATTGCAAGAATTTTCAAAGAAATCATTCTATTTTGGTTCTTTTGTGACTATGCTTTTAGAGATGTATTTAACTTGTCACATTAAGAAAAAGCTCATATACAATAAAAAAATACAAAAGAAAATATCACCTTAAATCCATCACACAGAACAAAGAATATATGCTTAGAGATTCCTTAACTGTTTGAAGATGCATTTTCTTTCCTTCCATCTTCAGTATGTAAATGTGCTTTTGAGAAGGTCATTGGTCATTACACATACATTTAAAATGAGCCATAGTATTCTAATAGGAAGAACTCCTGCAGTAAGGTCAAAATTGGACCTCACAGACTAATAACCTAGGTGCTTTGACAATGTACAGAAAGTGCACCTTCCCCTTCCCATCTCCAAACAATATTACTTTCTTTTTTGGGTGTTCAAACCTTTTAAAAAATAAAAACAGCCAAAACTTCAAGCAATATGTACATTTAACTATTTTGGTGGCGTTTTGTTTTTTAAAAGAAACAGCTTCCTCAAGTTTGGCTGGAAATGCTTTCAGAACTAGCTAGTAGCAAAACCAAGAGAAGCACATTCAAAATACTGATTTACTTTGGTAGCAAATGGTTGTTGTTCTTTAAGACTACTGAAGGTTAAGACAAGACCCAGTAAGGTGAAGTGAGCAATTTCAAATATTCAACAGTTTACATAAAATGTCAAAAAATGGCTACTTTTAAAGAGCTAAGCATCTGTACCTACTGAGAGCAATGCAAAAACTACTTTATGACTTGAAACAAATGCCCCGAATGGGGAAAAAAATGCTGAATTTTATCTAAATTTACTTTCAGTCCAGTAACAATTTTCTTCCCAATACTCCCTTTCGATAAGGCTGTTCCCGGGAGCCAGACAATTTATATGAGGGAGTTTAGAGAGTAATTGCCTGTATTGTGAACCAGTTTAAATAGACAATAACTTTTTTATTCCCTCATGTGCTAACAGTTGTCTAAAAAAATATGCAATTCTTAAAAAGGTACCATTTCTGATTTATTATCTGTAACCTTTGGAAACTAATCACATGAAACTACAAAATTAGCAAATGTCTTGACATCTGTATATAAAACATAAATTACCTCTAATTTCAAACTCTCATTTATTAGTGTATCACGCAATCTTTAATTAAAAAAAGTAATAAACAAAACAAAAACAAAACAAAAAGTGGCTCCAAAGATAGTCTTATGCCATTCTTTAAAAAAGGAAACTGTTCCTTTTAACTTTACACCCACCCACGCCCCAATCATAAAACACATCATTTAATTGTCTTGGTCATGGACATTTCCAAGATGAGATTTTATATTTCGCTCCCATAGCTTCTGGTTATCAGAAAACCCATGCTTTCCTTTGTTGAAGGAGTTTGGTCCAGCTGATGTTGGTGTATCCCTGTGTTAAAAGAAATTGATTTAAAATGTTATATAAAACACTTAGGAGTTGTGCTTTGAATTCATTAAATATACTTTTTTTTTCACTAAATATACTCTTATTATTTATCATCTATTATAAACTTAAACTGATCAGAAGCATTTACAGAATTAAAAAAAAATTGGGGGAGTGGGGCGCAGGGAAGGAGGGAGAGAAATTAGGAGCTGATGACGGGCTTAAGTGGAGAGGAAATGTTTTGAGAATGATGAGGGCAATGAATGTACAAATGTGCTTTACACAATTGATGTATGTATGGATTGTGATAAGAGTTGTATGAGCCCTAATAAAATGATAAAAAAGATTCTGATTTCCTTATGCCTGAGGTGGACTTTAACAAACATTTACTTTAGATTCTGATACACAGCTAAGGGTGGAAGCCCCTAGTTTTTTATATTCTGGGTTGCACCCTTATCAATAGGTTGGTATTCAATCAACTTGGTATTCTTCCACCAACATTTTTATAACAACGATATGAAACAGAGAAACACATGAACATGAACCACACCTTGCAATGCTCACTGCCATGTTATGAACCTGCTTGAGTTTTATCTGTTCATATACATATAACTATACTGGATCTTTATGTTACAATATACTTCCAGTATAAAACAAGGGCAGGCATCCATTGGATGTTTCTAACTGAAATATGGAACTGAAGCCTACATATCGATTTAGCAATTAAGTTATGTGGGGATATTTATGTATTTGGTAGAAATGGGGACATAAGATGGGTTGATCTGAAGTTGAATTTTCTCGATAGCTTCTGAAGTTATACATTTATGTATACAAAGAAAGCATCATGTTATCTTGAAGTTAACTTTATCTCTGTAGCATGAGGAGCCACGGAAGAAAACAAAATGCTTTTACTTTGTCTTATTTCGGCATTTGGCAACAAGGTTCAAGGAAACTAAGAGTACACAGGATCAAGATTAAATGAAGAGTGACACCCTAAGTGATAGAACTGAAAATCGGTTCACAGCAGGATAAAATTAAATATTAAAATAAAAATAATCTGCAACTTATATGAAAAGCATAGGTTGTTTAAAAATAGCCTTAAATTCTAGTTTTATCTTAAATGGTCACTTTTCCTTACCAAGAAAAACAAGACTTTATACAACAGCTCATAAAACATCAGCAATGTAACTAGTGTTATACTACTATTCTTGTTCATGGGGATTAGTTAGTACACATCTTACTCATCTTTGAAATCCTACTTAACCAGCTACCTTATAAAAAGTAGTGAAATAATTTTGCCAAAATAACTGAGAAGATAGTAAACATTCAAAAATTATACTCTTGCTTTGCATTCACCTGTATTACTACACTTGTTTAAAAAGTAAATACCTTCCAATATTCTTCATCCTCATCTTTGCTTCTGGTGGCATTTCCTCGGGTTCACTCTATACAAAGAAATAAGAATTAGTCCAAGATGGTGGCATAAAGATAACATTCACATGATTACAAAAAATGCTTCATATACAAACAAGTCTCATAGAATTTTAAACACCGGTGAAGACAAACAAAACCCTAACACGTTTGAACTAAGCCAGTTACTGTTGACTAGACAGTAATTGGAACTGTCTTTGCAAACGAGATAAGAAAGTTAACTTGGTCTGTCTGGATAGGACAGGCTGGATGAACAATCTGGAGGAGAAAACTACGGGACTGACAGTTCCGGGGGGACATGGGAGAGGGGGAGGTGGGGGGATGGGAAGAGGTGTTAACAAACCCAGGGACAAGGGAACAACAAGAGATGCAAACTGGTGGGGAGGTGGGTGTGGGAGACCTGGTAGGGCATGATCAAGGGGAACGTAACAAAGAGGAAGTGCTGAAATCCTGGTGAGGACTGAGCATGATAGTTAGTGGGACAGGAGGAGAATCAAGGGAAATAGAGGAAAGAGCTGGGAGGCAAAGGGCATTTATAGAGGTCTAGATAAAGACATGTACATATGCAAATATATTTATGAGGATGGGGAAATAGATCTATGAGCCTACATTTATAGGTTTAGTATTAAGGTAGGACATTGGGCCTCCACTCAAGTACTCCCTCAACGCAAGAATACTTTCTTCTATTGGCATTCTATGATGGTAGAAGTGGTCAATTTAATTCAATAGCAAAGGTCATGGCCAGTTTTTGCTCAAGGGACTTTGCTTCTTGACTTTGTGGGGGAAGGGGCACTAACATCTTATTAATAAGAGTATTTTCAGAAAGTTAGCCAAAGCTTCAGCAGGAAAAGCTGGGGCAGTTTCACCAGAGAAGGAGTTTTTATCACATAATGGTCCTGCTCTACTCGTTCCCCTCAGCAAACAAGGGGAACTCGGCCAGCTTCCACGGAAAACCAGTAGGTCTTGATTTGGCTCCTTCTGACTTTGTTACCTAATCTTAAAAAATTTTAAGGGGTGCTCCCTTTTAATTCCCTCTATTTAACAACATAAAAAGACTGTGTTGACATGGTAAAAGTCTCAGAACCTTCCATTCTTTAGAGAAGGGCCAAATGGCTGGTATCATCTTGTTTACAAAGGCATTTTGACCATGACATAGCTATGTTGAGGAATGCAATCTGTGTTTTATCATTTTACTATGATTGCTCTGGAGCAGGACGATCACTGGATGCACACATCAGTAAGTGAATTCTCTAGGACTAGTGGGATGTGGGGGTTCGTGCACTTTCACTGTCTTCAAGTACATCTCCTTACATGTCTTCATTTCAAAAGGAGCAAGTGGAGAAACCTGGTGGACTCCCTCCACCTAATCAAATGATCAAAGTTAACACATTGCCAGTAACGGGACAACATGACAGCATGTGCTCTCTGGTGCCACGCACTGAGAATCTGGCATCACCATGCAGTATTCCTGCCAAGTCAGAAATGTGATACTAATGATGAGACCGTTCCGAGAAACCCAGACTGAAGGGCATTCTACAAAATCACTGGCCTGTAGTCTTGAAAACGTGTTAATGGCATGAAATACTTTTTTATTTTTTGGATGACACAAATGGGTAATTTGCTCATCAATTACCTGAAAGATCAGAGATGAATTCATTCAAGGACACCTCCCCAAGAAAGGTCTAGTGATTTACTTAAAAAAAGAAAAAGCCAAGGAAAATTCTTGTGGGGTAACGTTTTCCTCGGACACACATGGAGTTGCGGAGTCAGCATGGACTCTACAGCAGGAAGGGAGTTTGATTTAAGCTTTAGTTACATTAACCCATCACAAGAAAAAGAATGCTGTCTGAATTGGCCTAGTTTGTTTATAAAAATAAGGAAAACAGTTAGCTTTGATGCAATTTTTTAAAAAGGAAGAAAAAAAGACAGCCTAAATTCTAAGCCAGCATTATTTTACATTAGCATATTTCTTCACTTCTCCATTTGCAAAATGAAAGATATCTCACAATTCACAGGGATATATGGAAAGTTAAATAAAGTTATGTGAAATGATATACAAATTCTTAGTCATTCAAAATAAGCTATTATGTAGGTGCTACAAATTTCTAGCCTCTGCATTTTTGTACACGCCATTCATATGACTTGCACATAGCAATATACTACTTAATCTCTAAGAATGTTAGAGATGCCAGAACACCTTGAAATAGGAGGAATTCAAAACCTGTTAGGGATCACCTTTCCACATTATAGCAGCCCCTGAGAAATAATTAAAAAATCTATGTTCTGGGTTGATCCTTCAATTTACAGTTGAGAAAGATCCATCAAGATTAAGTGATGTGCTAAAAAGTTTTCTGGTGGTTAGTTAACTGGCAAGGCAGCATTTGGAAAAGAATCTAGGTCTTCTAATTCCCAACCTCATGATCTCTCTAATCTGAATTTCCTGATAAGTTCATCCCTTCAAGTACTTTTGATCTCATCTCTTACGTGATCTTATAAGTAACCGTCATTAATAGGTTGAATTTCTGAAGAACATCTAGCTTATCTTTGTAACTTTATAGCACCTTGCATATAAAAAGTACTCAACGTGTAGAAATAAGTACAAAGAACTGTGTGGTAACAGATTCTTTACCTAGTGATCTTGGCTGTAGCTATTCCACATATAACTTCTCTACAAAATTCTACCTACAAAACTCACTTGTGCCTTGATTGTTGTCTCAGCTTAGAAAAGCACTACTGGAAAGTGAAAGGAAATAGAGAAAAGAACTAGGAGGCAAAGGGCATTTACAGAGGTCTAAATAAAGGCATGTACATATGTAAATATATTTATATATGAGGATGGGGAAACAGATCTATGTGCATATATTTATAGGCTTAGTATTAAGGTAACAGATGGACATTGGGCCTCCACTCAAATACTCCCTCAATGCAAGAATACCTTCTTCTATTAAATTGGCATTCCATGGTGCTCACCTTCCCAACACAACCGCTGAAGACAAAGCGGGTGAATAAGCAAATGTGGTGAAGAAAGCTGATGGTGCCTGGCTGTCAAAAGATATAGTGTCTGGGGTCTTAAAGGCTTGAAGGTAAACAAGCGGCCATCAGCTCAGAAGCAACAAAGTCCACATGGAAGAAGCACACCAGCCTGTGTGATCACGAGGTATCGAAGGGAGCAGGTATCAAGCATCATCAGAGCAAAAATTCCTATCATTGTGAAGGGGTGTGGGGGTGTGTGGAGTGGAGACACAAAGCCCATTCATAGGCCACTGGACATCCCCTTACAGAAGGGTCTTGGGGAGGAAACAAGTCAGTCAGGGTGCGATGTAGCAACGATCAAACATACAACTTTCCTCTAGTTCCTAAATGCTTCCTCCCCCACTATCATGATCCCAATTCTACCTTACAAATCTGGCTAGACCAGAGGATACATCGGTACAGATAGGAACTGGAAACACAGGGAATCCAGGGCAGATGATCCCTTCAGGACCAGTGGTGTGAGTGGCGATACCGGGAGGGTGGAAGGAGGGTGGGTTGAAAAGGAGGAACCGATTACATATAACCTCCTCCCTGGGGGACAGACAACAGAAAAGTAGGGAGACATTGGACAGGGCAAGACAGGACAAAATAATAATTTATAAAGTATCAAGAGTTCGTGAGGGAGGGGGGTACGGGGAGGGAGGGGACAAAAATGAGGAGCTGATGTCAGGGGCTTAGGTGGAGAGCAAATGTTTTGAGAATGATGAGGAAAAGGAATGTACAAATGTGCTTTACACAGTTGATGTATGTATGGATTGGGATAGAGTTGTATGAGCCCCTAATAAAATTTTAAAAAAGAAGAAAAGCACTACTGGGTTCACCAAAACTTTGCCCAATGCCACAGTTTTCAACCTGTTATACATTCACCCCCTAATCACTTCAGCCCCACAGGGCTTGGCCACCTACCTCTGAATGTCTAATTGTACATTGTTTTGCAGAGCAATTACTTAATATAAGATAGCATTTAGTTGTTATACAATAAAGGTTCTAAGGGTGAACTAGTTTCTAAAGCTTACGGGTTCCCAAAATTTGGGCAACCTCCCCTCTTTTCAGAAAAATATTCTGCAGCACCCTCCAGCATTTAAAAACTTTTGTACTATAGCCAGGATACTCTAGGATAAAGTACATGCATCTGCTTTTGCAGTCCTCCTGGATCGTTCCGGTACCCCTTGGAGTCAGTGGTACTGCCCACCTTGGGAAATACTACTGTTTAAGTAAGAGGTGAAGGCAGAATTCAGTCAAAATTATTCTTGAAAATTGTAAAATTCATTGACAACCATGGTGGGGCAGAGATATTGTGAGTAGCATGAGGGAACTGTGACTGAGAACAGCAGAGAAGAGTTTCATGCTCACATTCGTAGACCTATTTATTACGGGGAAACTCAGAAATACTTGTAGCACTTAAAAAGTGGTATTCCTCCTTGAGATACAGGAAGCAAGTACAAAAGGTTGTTTTCCTTAAGTTAAATGCAGATATAATGTGTCACTACTGAAAACCCTAACTGAAGAAAGTACTACACACAGAAGATTCAAACTTTTTTTTTTTTTGGGGGGGGGGGCGCTTCCATGTCTTCTAAGACATATTATCATAAGCATTTGGTGATTTGGCTCCTGGGCTTCTTGACACAAAAATCAATCATGCTTTAAAATAACCCTACAACCAAGGAACGTAAATATATATAAGCACGCAGGCATCCATTTTTTTATAAGTGTCACAGAGAAAACGGTTGAAAATTGCAAAGAAAATCTACCAGAATCATAAGGCAACTTCAATTTGCCACTAACACTAACGTTAGAGACCCGAAGGGAAAGCAGCAGAGCTGGGTGTCAACTTACATCTTCATCTTCATTGAAGGCTGCTGCTACTGAAAGGGTTTTTGGAGCAAGAGTCGGAGCGGTTTCTTTCGGCTTCTAAAGAAGAAACAAAATGTAAGTATCAAGTAAGTAGTATGTGTACAGGCTTGTTTAGTGCTGTGAATAACTAACTGATCTTTAAAGATTTAACTGTAATGTTTTCACAGGAACTTACACAGGCATACCTCAGAGGGTTAATGCAGGTTGTTTGGACCGGCAATAAAGTGTTATGATATAAATCCACACAATTTTTTTTTGGGGGGTGGGGGGGGTTTATTTCCCAATGCATATACAAATTATGGTTACACTACATGGAACCCTGGTGACACAGTGGGGTTACTGTTGGACTGTTAACCAAAAGCTGGTGACTTAAACCACAGGCACCCCGAGGAGAGCACATGAGGCAGTCTGCTTTTGTAAAGACTTACTACCATCTCAGACACCAGGGACGGTTCTGTCCTTTACAGTCACTCTAAGTTGGAATTGACTCTGTCAGTGGGCCTGGTTTTGGTTGGTAGTGTATCATGTGTGCAACAACTTTATGAATAAGTTTGAAATATGTTAAGAATTACCAAAATATAAGAAACGAGCAAAAGTTGTTAGGGGAAAAAAAGCCACTTGACATGGCTGACAATTTGTAAAAAACTATCAACAAAACGCAATAAAATGAAGTATGCCTGCACAGTAAATAACTCAGTACTTTGGAAAAATCCATCCTCTTTTGAAAAATGGGGTTTATCAGTTCATAGGTTTTACACAGGTTGCTATCAATACAGTCTTATGTCTACTTCTCCCCTGGAGAAGATTTTTCTACCGCATGAGTGGAATCTATGACTCACTGAAACAAAGTTAGTCATCTTTTCTTGTACATCATAAACATTTACTTTTGAAGGGATGAAAAATGTCACCTCAGAGATTATAGACTTTAAAAACGCCCTGTTTTAAAGATGCCATGTTGTACACACAACATAGAACACATTCAAGTATTTGTTGGTTAATCAACTACTTTTTCACGACATAAGCAAAACTAGCACTTTCAGTCTTTTTTTGTCCTACACCCCATTCACCAATTAGGAAATTACATTTATATTGTAATTTATTTTATGAAAACAGGATTGTTTTCCAATGATTAAAACGTTGTGTCTGGCACCCCACCACCACCGCCCAATAGAACCAACAACTCCTGAAGTGACCAGCAATTACTAAGTCCTATCACGGACTTAGGACAAGCGGGAATTTGGGTCTCTGACTTAGAGGGGTATCTCCTTGGATACTCCGTGGACCTGTACAAGTACACAGTGCTCAAATGGCATGTCACATGTATTTTTACCACAACTTAAAATAAAACAAACAACCCAGACGCACATCTCACATACACTGACTGACTGGAAAATGATGCTGTTTTTAAAAGTTCTCTGAATAAATATCAAATACAGAAATAGAGTTGTATGGAAACAGCATACATAAATGTTACATGCAATGGCAATGAACTACTAAAGTAATTGAAGAAATCTTTTTGGTTGAACCATCTAAAATTGCCCTACCCTATTTGTAAGTCAGCGTCATGATTCCTAATATCTAAAGTCATTCTATAAGCTCCACGGTTCATAACAAACATACATCTTTCGTGGAATATGAATACTCAAGTTCCATTTACAGTTCTAAAGTAGTTCATCTGGAAGCTAGTATCCAAAAATCCTTTAGTAATAATAATCTGAGATAAAACATTTCTAAAGCTATCATTTTAAACAGTGCTGGCACTGAAAGAACTGAAATTCTCTCCAAGTACAGTAGCTTTCAGAGGTTTTGTTTAACTTAAACTCTCTACCACAGCTTCTATGGTAAATATTCTAGACCGTTCCTGAACATTCTGTTAATCACCTTAAATGCAGGTCACGCATCAAAGGTTATTTCCTAAAGTAATGTCCTTTTTATACTTAATTTACCAGAACTTGTTAAATAGGTTTCCAAAACAAATTCCTAAGACAGAGTACAAACATTAGATTCAAAACAACTCACACTTGATCCAAGTTTGATGGATATGGCTGGTGCTTTCTTTGTCGTCTGACTAGCTATGGCAAATCCAAACTTGGAGATCTTTGAAGGCTTTGTAGGGAAGTCTTCAGCTTCTTCTTCAGCTGATCGTTTCTCAGCGCTGCGACTGGAACTTTCCCCTCCATTACTGGAAGAAACAGTCTTAGTTTTCACAGGTTTTTCTGCTTCTTCTTCAGGTCCTGGTGAAGTCGAAACAACTTACCAAGATGAGCTATTTTTACTGAGCAGACTGATGGGAGCAGCAACCTCAAAAAGCATCGCTACAAGGAAGACACCTCTGTAGTTGCCACCTACTGACCCGACAGTCTCTTCCACTGTTTGTTAGAGCACACAGCAGGAACTGAGATTGTGTGGCAGTAGAAGAGGCTCCCATGGATTAACCAGCATAAAGTAACAGCAATTTGAAATTATAAACATAGGGTTCACACCAAGTAAAGCTCCTTCAACTAAACACTAACAGTTATACAAGAGAGTGGTAATTTGTGGAACTTTGCCGAAGTTAAGGTCTATAAATTCTTCCACACAAACTCATTTGTGGACATTTAGTGATACCACATAATATACTTGGGCAATAAATTATAATATTCATTAATAATGTACCACTGATATATCTCACACCCTACTTAATAAGAAAGAAACTACCATTGCTGATACATTCTGGAGAATTTGCTTCTTAAGTGCTGTGTTCCTCAAATACACCTCATAGAAACTGGGGTTGAAAAGGAATTTAAGAGTACCTCAAGATATTTCCTGAGTAATTTAACTCTTCTATGACCTATTTTACCTTTAGGAGCAACTAACAATCATGCTTAAGTTTATATATTACCCTTTCCAGTGAAAGAAAGATCTATGACTTCAAAAAATAGAAGGTACACAAGTTTGAAATGTTCAGATGTGTGTAAGCGATTCTGCTGGTTTTTGGATTAGAGCAGTGATTAGTTCATAGCCTGCGTACCTGACACGAGGCTATTTATAAACTTGGGGGTAAGCTATACAGGAGAAAGCTAGATGATCATTACCAATTTTTCTTTCTCAGTTTCACCCTGTTTTTCTACCAGGGTAAATAAGTCAATTTACGGAGAAGAGAAGATGTTTTACGGGGGTGCTACTGACAATAGTTGAGAAAGCAGGCTAAAAAACCAGAGTGGGTAGTTGGGGAAACAAGACAGAGATAGACTGGGGTAAGTGCATTTTTAAAAGATTACAGACCTAGATTGATAGAAAGCACTTGAGGTGCCATTCCCGTATTTTAGATTAAAAGCACCTGAAGAATAAAAGATTGGCTTGCTAGCCAATAACTGAAATACAGAACTCAATTTCTTTAAACTATGCAAGCATCTGTGTTCTCAAAGGCTGTTTAAAATGAAAAGCATTTATGCTAAATTTTATTCTGCATTTTATTTTGCTTTAGTAAACTGTATTTTATAGTAAAAGTCAAATAATACTTTTCTGTACCCAACACAAAGCTAATTTTACAAACTCACTGGTGCGACATAAGGGGCATTCAGAAACAGAAAACGTATTGGCCTTACATATAAAGGCCCGTAGTTTGGGCAAAAGTAATTGTAAAATAATCAAAAGAAAATAGTATTGAAAAAAATTAAGAATTCATCTAGACTCTGAATTGTGAATAAAAAGCTACACTTCTTCCAAGTTTCTGGTCCTTTTAAAACCTTTTTATTTTTGGTGTTTTATTGTAATTTCCTTTAACCTAGGAAATAATTTTGGAATAAAGACTCTAGAAATGTATATGAGGGGAAAAAAGTTCTTACTGTGATTAACAATAGTGTGATAACTATATTAATTACCATATATAATAGAGTATAAGCCAATATCAGCTGAGTCACCTAATTTTACCAAAAACTGCATTAAATGCGCTGAAAAACTCGGCTTCTACACAAATATATACGGTATGTGGAAGACAGTACTATATGGCCCAAGCCAGTAAGTCATAGGAAAGATCTCCATGGAGACGGCTCCCAAACAAGGCAGCATCAAAGAGGGTGTTGGGAGGAACTATTCTTAACCAGTTAGCAGATGCTTCATTTTATTCACATCTGAGTTCCAACAGGTGAAGAGGCAAACTAGGAAGACGACCCACTTCACAGGTTCACACCCAGGATGAAACAACTATGTTTATTAGGTCATTTCTACACCGGATTGTTTCCAGAACCAGCAATTTATTTCTGGATATGGTAAATCAAGGTTTGACCTTGCCCACCATCAAGAAGTGCTTGCTTTACAAAATCAACCACAATGTTTTTAGGTCATATCTACTCTTTGGTGAGGCCACGGGGGAGAAGGAAGGGAGTGAGAGTGCACTATTGGCCTTGAAAGGCAAAATCTGTCACCTGGATCCAGTTATTTTCTCTGTATGCCCTGTCTAACAATTAAGAAGTAAAATGCACAAAGCATTTAGGAAATAAAGCAAATGGATTAAACAGTGGACTAATGTGAGAAAATGTGATAGTACTGTGAAAAATCTTAGCTACAAAAATTATATTTTATATTTTAAAGGGGGAATAAATACGTTTTATAAAAATAATAAAATCACAAATACATTTATAACAAATAGTAATTTACTAGAATTCAGGAGCACTGCACTTAAGGGATTTTATGTAGAGTCTACTTATTCTGAGCAGCCAAAATGAAATCAAATTATATAATTCTGTTCTTTTCATTAAGGAGTAGGGGAAGAGGAATAGGCTTTGCAATACAAAGATGCTTACTTTGCAGTACAAAATGTTAATAAGAAAGTTGAAGAATATTTTGACCCATTTTGCTTTCTGGTGGCATTCTCATTAACAAAAAGGGTAGATAGCTGCAGGTCTAGTAAGATTGGGGTTTGGCTTAAATGAAAACATGTTCAAGATTCCACTAATGTATGGCACTGTAAATGCCAACGTTAAAGATGGTCTTATAACCTTAAAAAGTCTGAGATGGCCACCCTTTTGCTCTGAGTAGCTCTTCTCTGGCCTTAAAGACAAACCCAATAGTATCTTGAGAACAATAACTTCTCATATAATTATCAATTTTCCTATTATGAAATGTTTTAATCATGTATAATTTAGCCAAAAATGACATTCAAAAATGGTTTATATGCAACAGCACTAATTTTTTTTTGCAAAGCTAAGCACACCAGAGGCAAACTGTGCAGCAAGTGAGGATTATTTACATTTTCTGATATGGGTTAGCAAAGGTGCTCCTTCTCTACCAAAAACAGGCTAAGATGGAAAAATCAAGGCAAATTAAGGATCTATACCACATAGCTACTAACCTCCCAAATGACACTGGCTGAAAAACTATAGTGCAATTATGCTGGCAGTGAAGGTATATTTTGATAGCGCATCAAGCACATCTCCACTATACTGTCAGGACAGTTAAAGGCTAGCCTAGTGAATTATATGCCAATAAAACTTTTTTTTTTTTAATTCTAAAATTAAATCACGGAAGATTTAGGCTGCAGATGTTTGGGCTCCTTCTCCTCCCCACCCCCACCCCCACCTACTTCCAGTTTTTGATGTCATTTTCCTCGGTAATTAACAGGGTCAGAATTTTGTGTTTGCTTTGAGGGGGTGGCCATGGTTGGAATTATCGTCTCTTAAGGAAAAATGGCCCAGCAGCAGCCGTGCGAGTCTGAGGTCCTGAGCAACTGAGCACGCTCCGCCCGCCCTTCCCTGCACTAGTGCTATGCCCGAAGCCATGCACGCTCAAGTTCACGGCGCGCGCCCTCGAGCGGGCCCG